GACTTCCATTGGCCTGTGCGTCCCACGTCACCCGGGCTGTGCTAGACTAGAGACTGAATTGGGAAGCTCTACCCAGCCTCTTGCCCCTCCCACCCCATGCATTCACCCACCCCACCACCACCATCCAGGGCACTGAGGGCTAGAAAGGTGCCTTGGTATAACTGGAGTCAGTGGGAGCCACACCTGCTGGACACAGCCCAGTGTCTCCTCTCCAGCTCACGGCCAGTCTGGGATACCGGGGCGAGGGCCAGGGCATGGACAGGAGAGTGGACTGGGTTCTGCTCAACTCCAGCAGCGCATTCCCCTTGGGGGCAGCATGTGCAGTGGTTAGAGGAGGGCAGGAGGAGGCAGGTCTTGTGACGCCCTGGACTTGAGCTCACTCCTTGCCTACTTTTTCAGAGAGGGAGAGCGGCTCAGGTCGGTCTCTGTGCAGTGGTTGTACAGTGCCTAGCACAACGGGGGTCCAACAATAACAACCACCTCTGACATTTTGCTGAAAGCATCATGTCGACATTGGTTGTGCGAAAGGGGCCACGCTCAGCTCAGAAATGAGCTACCTGCTACCAACAGCGGCTCTCCACAAAGCTGCTTTGAGAGAGGGGATTGTGAAGAATCGCCTCTGTGCTCGGGGTGATGTCTATCAGGAATCCCCCGGCCAGATCAGCTCAGGTTTTCCAGAAAACCCCTCTACCTCAGCTCCAGATCTGACCCGCCGATTACAAAGCAGAAAGGACCTTCGGGGTTTTAAAGTGGTCACGACATTAGGCTTATAACAAACCCTGCTGCAGATTTTGCGGCAGATAGCGTGGCTCCACAACCCATTAAAACCAGAATACTTCAAAAGACGTTAAGGGTGCAGAGTCAAGCTCTCAAGAGGCAGGATTTGCCTAGACCACCTCAATCGTGTCCCCTTCTCTTATGACACACACAATCACACACTTGTTTCTGCCCGAGTTTGAACCCAGAACTTTCGCCTCCACAGCACAAGAGGCTAACGTCTGTGCTAAAAAAGCCCCCTTTCACCCACCCATGCTAACTGGTGGCTATGCAGACTATGACGTGCTGGCCGCCCTTCCTGCAGCCCCCATTGGCCTGGAGCGGCGAACCGCGGCCAGTGGGAGCTGCGATTGGCCGAACCTGCAGACGTGGCAGGTAAACAAACCAGCCCAGCCCACCAGGGGCTTTCCCTGAACAAGCGGCAGCCCTAGTTTGGGAACCACTGGGCTAGAGGGTATGTTGATGCAGGAGACAAGCTGGCTGGCCGGCCCAGGCAGCTCATACAGGTTTGAGAGCATGTGCCGTGCAACTGGAGTAGGCAGAGCGTTAAGAGCAAGCACAAGCTCTCCTGTGTCTGTGCAAATGGCAGTTCCCTGGCTCAGCACCGGGGCCAGATCTGGACAGATTGTCACAGAGAAGGCGAAGAGCCCCTCTGATCCCAGGACTCTAAAAGATTTTGGATCCCGGCTCCAAACCAGGGAAGTGCTAAAACCAGGAACAGTTGGGAAATAATTTAGACACCGGCCACGCCCCCTCTTCCTTCCTAGCTTTGTTCTCAGGTAAGGCTGCACCCTTTGTGCGGAGACGTTCCAGTAAAATCCAGCCTGCAGCGCACCCCAAGCTTGGGCCCCAACGGGAACAGTTTTGCAAAGCGTTAAGCAACTCGTTACCCTCTGTCTTCATGGGAAGTGCTGGGCCTCACTGCCCGGGCCCCTAGGAAACCGGCCCCGTGTCAATGGCTGCGTGTTACGTTTACAGCACACACAGAGAGGTTACATCCTCTTGCTGATACGTAACATGACCGTGTGCCGTAGAATCCCGAACGATAACGCACATTGCTGCCCACAATGCAGGCTGCTCTCTAGGGCAGAGCGGCCCATTCGCCTCGCCCTGGACTAGCCTAGCTTCTTCCAGGCTGAGGCTGACTCCCTTAGCCGGTAAGCAGGACCAGGAAACACCCCAACGCTTAAAGCGACAGCTTGCACTTCTAAGCCAGTCCTCGATACACCACAGCTCGGAGACAAAATAAACTGAACGAGAGGTTATTTGTTCTGTTGGAAACTCAATGTCTTTAGTTCCCTCCGGGGTTGTTTCCCTCCACACACACACCTTAAATGTAACCACATTTGCAAATGCACATTTCCTTTGCTTTTTGCTACAAGATGCCTTAGCTGCCGAGCCCGGCTGCCTTTCCCATAAATCACAGCTCAGCATCCCAAGAGCAAATCGGGAAGCCAAAAATAGCCCCAGCCACTGTTTCTGATCACAACAGCTTCGTCATGTCTCATCCATCACCCTCCAAAGACGTGCAGAAGATGGACCTGCAATAGCCAGCCTGCGTTATGTGCTTGTAGATCAGGGAACCCGTGCTCCGCGCAGTCACTTGGAATGGTATACAGGGTGCCTCCCATGCCCGGTACCAGGACACCGGCCTGATTGCTTTCTAGAGAGCAAGGCCAGAAGGGCCCATTCTGACTATCTAGAATGACCCAAGATGCCCACCCAGGGATCCCTGGATTCCTGGCTGAGCCAGAACCCAAGATCAATGCAGCCTCTGAGTGGGATGCTGCCAGTTAGCTTAGGCCCAACGTTCAGCAGCTTAAAGGGACTTTTACAAACCCTCTGCTTTGTCTGAGTTCAGTGAAGGTGGAAATCCAACCCGAGGCCTCGTCGACACTCAAATTGTACCCAGTTGAATTAGTTCAATCAGAGTTAACCCAGGTGTGGCTGCTTAAAATCAGCTGACATCGATCTAGCTTCATTTGGAATTTACCCAGGGAAGCTAGAATATAGGCCAATCTAAGTGTTGGGCAGGAAAACTTTGGTCCACCCACTTTGGTGCCCTACGAATCCGCACCGCATGTGCGGAGGTTTGTGCGAGCGGCATCCCGTTTACTGCAGCCCAACAGAGTCCATTGCCAGCACCAGCCCATCCCAGAGACAGGGCTGCGACTGGCCACACCTCACCTGGGCCAGACCCAGCTGTGTTGTGCCCTGTAGCTAGAGACTGCAGTAGCGGAGTGTTTTTTGCAGCTTGGGTTTCAAGAAAGCCCCTACGATTCATGCTCGCTGCTGTGGCAGGACTGCCCCCACCCACACAGGGGCCTGGGGTCCTTCCAAAGCTAGTTTTTATGCATTTCTAAGCCTGGTAGGAAGTTAAGAGCCCTCCAGCCACTCACAGGAGTTTACGGGTACACACGACGGCTCTATGAGCAGAGATCCATACCCACAATACAATATTTGACAATCATAGAATATCAGGGATGGAAGGGACCTCAGGAGGTCATCTAGTCCATCCCCCTGCTCAAAGCAGGGCCAATCCCCAGACAGATTTTTACCCAAGATCCCTAAATGGCCCCCTCAAGGATTGAACTCACAACCCTGGGTTTAGCAGGCCAATGCTCAAACCACTGAGCTATCCCTCCCCCATATGTCATAATGTTCAATGTTGTGTTGGATTCTCCATCACCAACCATGTTTAAAGCAAGACTGGATGGTTTTCTCACAGCTCTGCGCTAGGAATGCTTTGGGGGCAGGTCTCTGGCCTGGGTCACACAGGAAGTCAGATGAGATCATCACACTGGTCCTTTCTGGCTTTGGAGTCTAGGAATCTCTTAGGAGCTACCTGCCTGGCAGAACAGACAGCTCCACTTCTCAGGCCAGCAGGACTTGCTGCCACCAAGGCAAAGCCCATCTGTGCAGGAGACAGAGCGTCCTCTGGGGCCGGTCCCAGCCTGGGGATGAAACTCCCTCAGGAATGAAGCTCTGTCCCAGCCTTCCCCACCCCTGCTCCAAGGGCCAGGCACACTTCTAGGAACCATCTCTTCTAACATAAACACAAGTCCCGTTTGAAAAACCCGACCAAAACAAGCCACTCCCTGCACTCTCTTCTCCCCGGGCAGGGGTGCGGAAGAGGAGAGAACCACCAGCGCATGACAGAGGTTAGTCATATTGCTGAGGCACAGCCGGAAGGCACTCAGATAGGACGGTGATGAGCACGGCATAAGAGCTTATCTAGAACAGACAGCAAGGGAGTGCCAGATGTCTCCATGAGCCAAGCTCATACCAGGGGCAACAGCCCGGGCCTCGGTAATCAGCATGAGCCTGGGCCCAGATCGCTCACGTCTCCTCTGTCCATTTCAGGACGGGTTCCTGGGGAAGGAAGGGGCGATTCCGGCCATTCACTAGTGGGACACCCATTCCCGTAGCGCATTGCTCTCTCCAGCCAGCCATTCCAGGGGCCTGACCATTCACAAGGCCTCACTTCTCAAGCCAGCCCGCTTGTTTAGCAGGACCCATCGCTCTAGGGAATTCCATGTAGTACATTCTGACTCCTTCGGGCCATGCTCACAGAGGTGGTGCCACCAGACCCCCGCCCATCTCTCTTCAGCTGGAGAAGGCCTTTCCCAGCTGACTAGCTACACCACCCACCTTGCCAGGTCTCCTCCTTCGACCCCAGAGGGGCTAACTGGCACAGCGCAAGGCGGCGACGCTATGGGGCACAGCCCCCATCAATGGCGCTATCTAGGGACTCAGGCAGTGCTCTGGGGGGAGGTTATGCCAGTCCCAGGAGAGAGACTTCAGCCAGCTGGGGCTAGGGGCTGCTCCATGCTTCTGTAGCGCTGCCCAACCACACGCCAGCGAGCGCGTGGCAGGAGTCCCAGAGCCCTCTGCAAGGCAGCGTGGATTAACGCCATCGCAGCCCATTTTACAGCCGGGTCCGATCCCTTGTACTGAGATGCTGCCCAGGAGCTGGCCCTTGGTGCGCCAGGCGCTGTACAGCTGCAGAACAATGGGGCTGCTCCGCAGAGCTGGCAAGCGAAGCCAGAGTGAGGTGGAGCGAGTGCCCAGGCAGGTCGCCGGCCCAGCCAGCCTTTC